CTCTTGATGAAACAAAAGGACATTTTTAAAAGGAGACAAATAAATTTAGAAGATTTATATTGCATAATTAATTGATTGTCATTGTTATAAATTTTCCCAACACAAGGGAAGATTAGCTGGAAAAGAAAATAAATTGAATGCATTATTATTATCTTAACTAGGTACTCACAACTAAAAATGTAGATTAGAAATGTTGCATTCATAAAATATTGCAAAAATATCCATCAAAAGCAATTACCAATTATGAGAACTCTCAAATATCATGTTCCATATGAAAAAGCTCCAATCAATATAAATAAAAATAAGACATGTACCTGCAGTATGAGAGGATGGTTGGTTGGAACAAAATTCTAGAGGAGACTAAGACATAATTGTCTGTAAGACCCCTATATAAAAGGTTTAAGTACCTTAAAATAATAAAAAGATTTCAATTTAAAGTATGTCCCAAAAAAAATTGAAATAAAAAGATAAAGTTGCAAACAAAGGATCTTGTATAAAAATCCATCAATAGATATAAACAAAAAGATCGTTGCCGGATACAAAAGAAAAGGATGCATAATAGCTCACCATTTTCAATTGATAGATTTAAGACCATTTTGAGTATATATTGGACAGCTATCAATAAACTATCTCCAGTACTTAATATAAAACATAATTAATTAATTTAGGAAGATTAAAAAAATTAATTAAGTTCATTATTTGTAATACATAGATGTTATCTTTCTTAAAATATTCTTATTAATAATGTGTACTTGAAATACCCATTGATAGTGACTACTTAGCATGTGTAACCACTATAGAAATTACTTGAAGACAAAATGAATAAATAATGAAAATAAAGTAGACTGGAGTCTTATATTTTGGACAAAAACAGATTGAGATGTTTTTAAGAGTTAATTAGAGAAAGTAGTGTAGCCTTGGAAATTTAACATCAATTTATTATAAGGAGAATTATAATAAGGTCCCAAATAAGGAAAACAATTAAAAAACAAGTCCTAGAGATTATCATTCTCACTATAAAACTTGTCATTATAAACTGTTGAAATTGTTATTAGGACTTTTTGATAATTATTTCTCTTCTGTAAAAATTGATTGTAATTCTCCCTTTATTATATTTCCTTTACTTTTATTTGCAGTTTATTCCCCCCCGCCCCCCCGGTCCGCGCAGCAGCTTCGGCGACACCGTTTGAGGGAGTCTTTGGAACCTCAAAATCAATCAGGCAGCAGCCACAAAGACGACAGCGTTTGGATTGGAAGAGGAGCTGATGGTTTTCCGTCGAGTTACTGCTCATCAAGTGGAGGCAGCTTCACTGTTCATCGAGCTGGGAACTGTTCATCACTTCTTCTTCTGCCGGAAGGAGACGCCGAACTGGTTCAAGGAGAGAGGAGAGAAAAGGGTACCGGTTCATCGTCTTAGAGAGATCTTAGAGGGAGAGGACGCCTTCTTCTGTCTCTTGTTCGACGGAGGCTGGACCAGAGGTGGAGGATGCCTTGAGCTTTCCTGTTCTTCTTCTTCGGCAAAGATGGGAGGAGAGCTGGGGGTGAGTGCTGTGTTTGTTTCTCTAATTCTCGTCGAGTCAGTCACTGTGGAAATTTGATTCAACCGACAGCAAGGATTGCTGGAAGGAAAAAGGATTATCATACTGTTGTGATTCTCTTTTCTTGTTCTTTTTCCATGGTTTTTGATGCTGAACCTGTTGTTGTTGAGATAGATTTGATTTTGAGCATGTGTGGCTAGTTTGCTTTTGCAGCCTAGACGATCTATAAACTTGTTAGTTAATTGAATTTTGTTTTCACTGACCAAGGATGCTTAATGTTATTTTGATTACTTAATCTTATTCCTTTATTCTCCGTTTAATGACTAGCTACCAATAAGTACGAAATTGAGGATTAAGATTTAACTTGACAACAGAAATTTCAATTAAGCTCCTAGATTAAGTACTATGGGATTGAATTGCCATCTAATTTGTAATTATGATAGAAATATATCTAATTACCCCATAAAATTGTTGATAAACGTGATAAAATGGTTTAACCTCTAGGGTAATTGCGCTAGAGATAATATTTTATATTTGAGTGGGGGTATAAGTGGTCCAACAGGTATTTATAGCTAGCTGAACTTTAGATTATCAAAATTGACATTAGAGTTAATTAATTAAGTGGAAACAAGTTTTGAGAGGCTGGTAAGGGAGTAATAACTCTAAGTTGTCCTTTTTTATTTTTGCTCTAGTTAATTTGATAAATCTTTGATTATTTGATTTTCATTTCAATTCACTCAATTTCAGTTCAATTGTGTCTTGCTCAACTTAAATGAAAGAGAAATTTAATGCCTAACCAACTGAGTTTTCTGTGAGATCCACCTTCATTTAAATGAGTAATATTATAATGTTTTATAAATATAGCATGTGTACTCGAAGTGTAGTGTTTTTTTTTTTTTGGGACCACAAGAAGTGTAGTGTTCTTTTTAAGCTCATTATTATGTACTAAAACTAATGAATCTATTAATCCTGAAATGCCGTATGTTTCCCATGGGCTTTTTAAGCAATTTTGTTTCTTCTTCTTGTTTTTTTTTTTACAAGGCAGCTTAGAGAAGTATTGTGTACTCGTTTATTATTATGTTTTTATCCCATTAAGTTTTTCCTATTAAGGTTTCTTTATGAGGCACATATTTAGTCATGAACATCCAATCTAAATATGAATAAAATATTTTGCGTAGACGTCCATATGCATCTCTCCACGTCTCTTCAAAATCCTCAAAGGATGTGTAACCCCGGAGTCTTGTAATTTATTTCCCTACTTACGTTCATGCAATTTATATCTTCATTATGTCCCACTATATTTCATATATTACGCATCATTAATTGTATGGTTGTTTTTTTAATAGAGGCCTGTACATGTAATTGATACTTGAAAGTGAATGAAAAGTATTCTCTTTCATTTATTCTCTCTCCAATTCTTTTCTCCATTCTATAATAACTCTTTCTTACTCTTGCTGAGTATTTTCTTTTATTTTCATAATAGATATATTTTTCTTAGGAAAACAGTTAAATACATTAATTAATTTGACCGCCTATATGTAGTTACTAATTAAAGAATCCTTACATGTGCATTGCACTTGACGAAGAAACAATATGTCAATGAAAATTTTCTCATTTTAAATTATTAAATTATGTTCTTATATTTATACATGTATACAGTTAGCTTTGTTGATAGTAATTCACTGATATGGTTTGCGCAGTCACTGATTGAATGAAAGGAGAATTCAATTAGAGACCAGATGAATTTATTTCAGTTATGATGTCCGTTTCTACTCACAGAAGTTAATAGAATAATATGTTTTAGGTCTTTTAGTTTGGATTTGGATTGGGTATTGGATGTTTAATTAATCATCATTAATGGCAGCAAATTTTCAGTTATTAATTCAGCCGGCTTGTTATAAATTAAATTCTAAAAGGTTTTATAAAATTAACTAAAAACTAACAGGTTGGATTTGATGGAAGGAGCTAGTTCTTTATGACATGACTAATAAATGTTTGAATATCTACTAGGAGAGAGTTACTCACATTTAATATCTAACAATGACATGAATATGGTTGCTTCCAATAGAAGGATAATGATGACTTTTCCTTTTTTAAAGTTAAATTAACATGGATATATGTCCTTTGGTGTATTTAAAAAAAAACTCAATAATAATAATCCCTCGTCCTTTTGATAATTTGACCAACCAGCTAGAACTAAAGGTCAGAAATCGTTTTTTCAATCAAAGTCATTATAACTTGTATCATGGCAAATGATTCGGGCTTCTCCTTTAAGGGAAAAAAAAGTAAACATTAAAAATTGTTTTTTAAAAAAGTTCTCCCAATTAAAATTATTAATTATCTTCATTTCGTAGACTATTTTTCATCTATCATCTTAGAGAGAATTGACTTCTCTCCATTTTTAAGTTCCCCTCCATTTCCTTTCTACTGCGCTTTTCGACCCTAGGATCAACTTTTTCTTTAAAAAAAAAAAATTTTACTGCAATTTTAAATTGTTTAGATGGAGTTTCAGCAGTTTAGATTTACTTTTTTTTTTATAATTTATATTATAATAATAATTTTGTAAAATATAAAATATAGACCGCTCAAAATTTAACCAAAGAGGTCGAGATATGTGAAATGGAGGGAAAGCTTTCGGTTGCGTTTTAGTAATTTAAAACCATAATATAAATATTCTCAAAATGCTGATCGATATCAAACAGGAAAGTGTCTTTTTGCTAACAGCAAATTTCATCTGTAAAAGAGTTAATGCAAATATTTTGAAAAAAATGGATAGTCGCATGCGTGTAGTACTGTCTTCGTTTCATAACCAAGTTAATATTATAAATGCAATCTTCAACGCCTTTTCAATACTTGCAGTACTCAAAATTGCCCCTTCTGGTTTATATTCGTTCGTATATATTAATTCTGCACACACACACGTTGGCGAGTCCTTCCAACCTCAGTACTACTCTATATGCTTACTACCAGTTTTGGTCCAAGATCTCTTCAACGTTAGGCACAATGTCTTCATGTTGGTTGATTCTTATTATTGCCCTCATAGCCAAGCTTCTGACAACTGATGCAGATCCTCAGGAAAACACAAAGGCAAATATCTCTCTATCATCACTTTTAAGATTATACTTCGTCATTAGCTAGATGATCTGTATCTGTGTGCTTTGCAAATTAGACGTTTACATGGATTGTTCAAGGAGAGAAACAAAAGAAGTACAGGGATCTGTACAAGTATATTTATATGATAAGTTTCACTCCCACCCCCCTAATATATATCTATCAGTTTCTTTTCCCATCTCTTTTTGCCTTTCTGACTGTAATGATTTGCGATTATAAAGAATCTGAATTTTCTATGTGAGACCAAGAAACAAGTTTATTCCAAATGCATTTGGTTCGAATACGCCTCTTTCAGCAGTATATCTGAATACGTTTCTTGTCGTTATAAATTTTCTACTAATCTGCTTGTTGATGCAGAGTTATATAGTGTATATGAGGAGCCCTTCAAGTGGTGATGCCCCCAAGTCAATGCTTCACATGAGCATGCTCCAACAAGCCCTTGGCAGGTATATATGTATATAAATATATTTATGGAGTAATTAACATACTCCCATTTTCCCGACAAGAGGAAGTAAAGAGAAAAGATTCAAATTTTTTTTTTTTTGGGTACATTACATTTCAAATGTTGTGTGCGGTCAGTGATGGAGCAGCAAATGCTCTTGTACACAGCTACAAGAGGTGTATCAACGGGTTCGTTGCGACGCTCAAGGAAGAAGATGTTCAGAAAGTTGCTGGTAATAAATTACCACATAATAAACTAGATCCAGATCTTTTGTGTCAAAAACTTTGTCACGTTGTCCCCTTTTATTTGAAACATAATCTGTTGGCTTGATTGATCAAGAGCTAAAACAGAGACTTAATCCAGTATATATAATATTGCAAATGTTCAATAACCAGGATGTAGTTCAATTTTTATTCTCTGTAATGTATTCTAATAATCAACTCCCTTTGGGTTGTCATCAGCAATGGAAGGAGTGGTTGCCGTGTTCCCAAATGGAAAGAAACATCTGCACACTACAAGATCATGGGACTTCATAGGATTTCCAGAAAAAGTGGAAAGATCAAGAACAGAAAGTGATATAATAATAGGAATACTTGACTCTGGAATCTGGCCTGACTCCCCCAGCTTCAATGACTCTGGACTTGGTCCCCCACCCTCCAAATGGAAGGGATCCTGCTATAATATCACTTGCAACAAGTACTTTTCCATGTCTATTTCTTTACGTTGGGAAACTCTTATATTTCACACATCATCTCACGTCATATTCATAATATGGTATATATCTATTATAACTATTTGTGATCAAACTTAAAATGTGTGCAGTAAAATCATTGGAGCAAAATATTTCCGAAGTGACAGAACATTTGGTGAAAATGATATCATATCGCCAATAGATTCTAAAGGCCATGGAACACACACTGCGTCAACAGCTGCTGGTGGGTTAGTGAGCTCAGCAAGCTTTTATGGTCTGGGATTCGGAACAGCAAGAGGAGGTGTGCCATCAGCAAGAATAGCAGCGTACAAGGTTTGTTGGTCCGATGGATGTCAAGACGCAGACATTCTTGCAGCTTTTGATGAAGCAATCTCTGATGGGGTCGACATAATCTCTGTCTCACTTGGAGGTCAATCAATTCAACATTATTTCAGTGATTCAATTGCCATTGGAGCTTTTCATGCTATGAAAAATGGGATCTTGACCTCCACTTCTGCCGGCAACGATGGTCCCAAACTTACGACCACCATTAGTGTGGCTCCTTGGACTCTTTCTGTGGCTGCCACTACCATGGATAGAAAGTTCCTCACCAAAATTCAGTTTGGGGATGATACGGTTTTTGAGGTAAATTTAAAAGACTTTTGTTTTTCATTTATGATATCAACATGATTTTTTATCCTGTGTTTTAACTTTAGAAAATTTTAAAATATTTAATTCCCTTTCATATGCAAGACACTCCCCTGGTCCTATTTATAAGCAAAGATAGATTTTTTTTTTGTCTTTAATATAAATCACCTCGTGAATGCACAATTTTATTCCTAATTTATTGTTTTGTATATTATTATTTTTTTTGAAAAAGTGTATATACAGTAAATATAGATAAAGTTGAAATTTTATTAAATTTTAATGCAAAATGAACAAAGTTTTGAGGTTCTTTTTGCCTTGATGAAACATGTTGCAAGTGGTAATACTTTATAAAGAAGACTAAAGGAATATTAATTTATTTAACTTTTCATTCTGTGAATGCCCTTTTTCTTTTTCTTTTTCTTTTTTTAACACAACAGTGACGATAGTTGCTATTTTTGCAGGGAAGTTCAATAAATACCTTTGACTTGAATAACACTAAGTATCCTCTGGTCTATGGTGGGGATGTACCAAACACCCTTAAAGGCTATAATAGCTCTATATCCAGGTACTTCTTACTCATTTTTGTGAGTCTAATAGGCCTCTTCTCTTTTATCTATAATTACTTGAAATAAAGTATACATTAAATTTGGTGCAGGCTTTGCTTAGAAGACTCAATGGACCAGAATTTAGTGAAAGGGAAAATAGTTGTTTGTGATGGCCATTATGGACCTAAAAAAATTGGACTTGCATCTGGTTCTACTGGAGTCATAATAAATTTTCAAGGAGAACTTCCTGATATTAGTTTTGCTTTTGCCTTGCCAGCATCCATCGTCAATCCAGTGAATAGTGACATCTTACGCCACATGATTGGGATTAGGTAATGAGATTTCTACCATCTCACGAACCTATTATTTTTAAGTTTAACATTACTTTTAATTGATTTCGTGTAAATACGTGAAAAGATTTTTGTTTTATAAAGCGCAGAAGTAATTTTGAACGGCTTGACAAACACCCCTTATTCTTTTCAATTAGCAAGCCCTAATATTTACAAACTTTGAAACACATCACAGAATCGGCCACAACATAACTGCAACCATATTGAAGAGCAGCCAGGCCAACAATACTTTAGCTCCTGTTGTAGCCTCCTTTTCTTCAAGGGGTCCCAACCTAGTTACACTTGACATTCTCAAAGTAAATTGACTTCTTTCCTACTTGATATACTTTTTGAGTGATAAAGATTGATGCGATAACTATGTGGACTAACACTTTGCGGTTTGAAACAACAATTTTGTATAATATCAATAAATATATAGCCGGATATAGCAGCACCGGGATCAAATATTTTGGCTGCGTGGTCTCCAAGTTCGCCTCCTTCTGGAGTAAAAGGAGACATAAGACAAGTAGATTATTCTATCGCTTCAGGGACATCAATGGCATGCCCTCATGTTACTGCGGTAGCTGCTTACATCAAATCCTTCCACCCTTCTTGGTCTCCTGCAGCAGTCAAGTCTGCAATTATGACCACAGGTATATAGATAATTATTCATTACTCTTGTTCACATTGATTTATAATTTACTTGGCCCACCTAAGAAGATCTCTTCTATGCCTTTCATTTGGTTGCATGTTATCGATGGTATAGTATCTAATTTAATGCACTCCGTCTCCTTGGATGTAGTTGAAGGGTTTGTTTCAATCATAAATTTAAGAACTAATCCACTTTGTCTATAAGATTTTCAGTAAACTATTCCTATTAATTGTATATATGAAAGGGGTTTACATTAATGGGGATAACTTCCAATTAACGCAAATGGGTAAAACGCGTATTTTAGGAAAGTCAACAGGTTTTTTCTTACAAATGACTGATTTAATTAACTAATTTTATCCTAATTTTTATTAGTTATCTAGATCCTACATTTAGAATTAGAGGAAGTAGTCAATATAGTCTTATTTGTTTTTAATTAGATGGTTATTGTCATGTCACATAATATGCTGTTATTAGATGGCATATATATTAAGGGTGAAAGTAGATCAAGATTAGCCTGCTAGACAAAGCCTTAGCTAAATAGGCCTTGGCGTATGTTTTTGAGGAAATCATTATGAGGTCCAAGCAAAAAATGTCACCGCCAAAGATTCTTAATCATAAGTGAGTAGCAAGGATCTTGTTGTCATTTTTCTATACAAACTTGTTATTAACTTGTTATGGGACTTTTTGATCATTACATTCCTTCTTTAGAACTACATAGTGATTTTCCCTACATTATTAGGCTTCTTGAGCAAATGATAAAGTGGGGTGATTATAGCCGTTACATCAATACTGAAAGACAAGATCCTTTAATTTTGACAAAAATAAGGGACTGTCAAAACACATGTTTTCCCACGGATTCCTTTGGACTCATAATTTTCTTTTGAAAAAAAATCACAGCTACACCATTGGAGTCTCTAAAGAATGATGCTGAGTTTGCATATGGATCTGGCCATATAAATCCAACCAAGGCACTAAATCCTGGTTTGGTATACGATGCTAATGAAACCGACTACATCAACTTCCTATGTGGACAAGGTTACAATGACACATTGCTTCAAGTTGTAACCGGAGAAAGCAAAACTTGTTCTGGAGTCACCCATGGCAGTGTGTGGGATTTAAACTACCCTTCTTTTGCCGTCTCCACTACTTCTACTGAATTCGATACCCGAGTTTTCACAAGGACTGTCACCAATGTTGGGTCACCAACTTCCACATACGAAGCCACTGTGAGTGCTCCAGAAGGAATCGACATACAAGTGAACCCTCCAAGGTTGTCGTTCAGTTCCTTGGGACAGAAGCTGTCGTTTACTGTTAGTGTCAGTGGATTTGTAACTTCCTTAGCTTCTGCTTCTTTGGTCTGGAATGATGGCACCTACCAAGTGAGAAGCCCTATTGCAGTGTTTTTATATTATGTTGATGATAATTAAGTTGAAGGTTTCAGGATTTGATGCTTCGATGTGTACTTTTGGTTTATTTTACGGTTTAATGTGCATTGGTCTTGTGATTTTTTCCACGAACGTTGATGTGATTTTATATGTAGTATATGGCTGCAAGATGTCATATAATTCTCCAATATTAATCCGTGATAGAAGTGATCGTTTCTCTTCTGAGTTCTTTATAATGAAATTTTCTATGCTTTCTCCCCTAAATAAAATGCAAATTATTTCTGTTACAGCAAGGTAATTAACAGAAAGTTTTCAATTGATCCTTCATAAAATGCGCACTAATTTTCAACTCTGTGTGTGTGTGTGTGTGTAGTGAAACCGGTTTTTTGTCTTATTATTGTCACCATCGTTCGGTTTTGATACCATGCGACGACATTATTTAGCCTCACACATTATTCTTAAAGTTAATTATTGCTTTTGTGTGTGTGTGTGTGTGTGTGTGTGTTAAAATCAAATTGAAGCTTTTATTTTATATATCTGCAAATTCAAACTGCTAGATACAGATCTTAGGAGTCTACATAATGAATTTTCTCTTTCTCTGCAAATTTATTTGTGAGAAGTAACGTTCGAGGTTGTGAACTCATTCGGGATAATGAAAATGTTTGTTCATCTTGAATTTGTATTTAATGAAAGGTAAATTCAATTCAAAGATCATGGAGATTACAAAATTAACTTGGAAGAAAAAATTATTATCACAATATTCACAATAATAAGAAATGTATTTCTTGAAGTAACGATGAGTATATTCCATTGTACGGCTGCCACATGAAAGTTTTCTTCTAGCTAACAATAAATGGAGAAAAGTCTAATTTCGTCGAGCTCTTCTCTATTGGCTTATTACTTTCTCATGCTCTTTTTATTTTTACTCTCCCTGACTCTATGCATGAAAGACATTAATAGCTTATTTAAAATTTTTAGTGTTATTTTTATTTTTATCTCCATTAATTATTAACTAGTGCATTGCATTAACGATCTATTCACTCTTCATAAACAAGCGTATTTTAAAGAATAAATTGTATCTTTTGTATTTATAGCATCTAATCACCTTATATCTTACAACAAAGAATGTAGTATTATTGTTTGGGGTTGAGAGAGGTAGTTGTTCTTGCTGAATTTTTTTTTATAATTAAGTTAAATTAACATGGATATTTCCTTTGGTGTATATTAGAAAAACTTACAATAATAACAAAACCTTGTCCTCTTGGACAATTTGACCAACTAACTAGAACCAAAGGTCGTAAGTTGGTCTTTTAACTCAAAATCATCACAACTTGTTGTGTGCCATGGTAATTGGTAAACAATTCGGCTTCTCTCTTTAAGAAAAAATAAACATTAAAAAAATTGCTTTTTTCAAAAAGTTCTCCCAAATAAAAGTATTAGTTATCTTCATTTTTTAAACTATTTTTCATCCATGTCCTTTATTTCTACTACATATTTCAATCATGGGATCAATTTTTTACATTTTTTGCACTGCAATTCTAAATGTTTATATTAAACTTTAGCAACTTAGGTTTGTTTATTTTTTATAATTTTGTAAAATATAAAATTTGGACTACTCAAAAATCAACTAATAGCTGAGAAGTGTAATAATGGAGGGAAAGCTTTCCGTCGTGTTTTCAGGAATCTAAAACAAAAATAAATATTCTTTTCAATATTTCATCAAAGGAAAGTGTCCTTTTGTTTGCATCAAATTTCATCTGTAAAAGAGTTATTACAAATATTTTGATAAAAATAGAGAGTCGCATGCCTGTACTGTCTTCACTAAATGCATTCTTGTTCGTCTTTTTAATACATTGAGGAGTCAAAATTGCCTCTTCAGGTTTATATTTGGCGGTATCTGTGTGTGCAAATAAATAAATATATATTTATATTTCCCCTTATACCACAAGCTTTAATCTGATCTCTTCAATGGCAGGCACAATGTCTCCATGTTGGTTGATTCTTCTTATTACCCTCATAGCCATGTTTCTCACAATTGATGCAGATTCTCAGGAAAACACAAAGGCAAATATGTCTGTCATATATCACTTTTAAGATTTTACTTACTCATTTGCTATATCTATATCCTTATGCTTTTCATATTAGCTAGACAGTTATGGATTAGGGAAAATTCCCAAAAAAAATAGTTGAATTTCAAAAACTAGAAAAGATCACTTGAATTTAACAAATTCTAAATTAGCCAAAATGACTAATTCAAAATTTTGAAATTTTGATAAATTTACAATATTTTATTTATTTTTTTAAAGCCGTGCAAGTCACTCTCATTGGCCGGCTAGCAACTAGTGTCGGCATCAAAGCTTTGGTGGCTGACTGATGATCGGTTGTTGGAGCTTTGACAACTGGTGACTTTTGTTTTAACCTTTTTTCAATATTCATAATGTGATTAACATCTTATATAACAATTTTCATAACTCAATTAACCACATGTTTTTAGGTTTTTAAAATATTTTTTTCAACATTTTTAATGTAATTAACAACTTTTATAATAATATTCACAACTCTATTAATGTTATTAACCATTTTACATGATATGTTTTTAAACTAGGGGAAATTAGGAGAATAGGAATCTTGCCAAACTATGATATACTCCCTCCGTTCCTTATTATAAGAGACATTTGATGCTTATGGTATGTTCCTATATATAAGAGACACTTAAAAGTTGTCTCTACTTTTTTGTGTTGATTTCCTATTTTACCCATATTTATTATCTCCAACTCACACTCTCTCTCCCTCCCACTTCTCTTTCTTTTAATATTTTAATTATTCTCTCTCCTACTCTCTTTGCTTATTAATGAGGGTATTTTTGGAAAATAAATTATACTTTTTACACATTAATTATTCTTAACTAATTTTAACTGTTTTTTTTATCAACGTATTTCGGTTATTTGTCTCTTATAATAAGGAACGGAGGGAGTACTTAATATGCATTTATTTTATTAAATTAATAATATTAATTTAAAACTCTATCATATAAAGTAGTTAGCGACATTAATAGAGTTATGAATATTATTATAAAAGTTGTTAATAATGTGATGTACAAATGTTAAAAAGATTTTTAGTTTAAAAACTTGAAAAACATGTGGTTAATTAATGGCGTTAATAGAGTTATGAATGTTATTATAACAGTTATTAATTATATTATAAATGTTGAAAAAATTTCATTTTAAAAACATGAAAAACATGTGGTTAATGATATTAATGAAGTTGTGAATATCATTATGAAAATTATTAATTACATTACAAATGTTGCAAAATTTCAAAAAGAATAGTTGTCGGCTGTCGGAGGTTCGACAGCCAATCGTCAAAGCTCCTATGATTGGCGACCCACCTGAACTCTGGTATTGGCAGCCAGCTGGCCAAAGAGGGTGACCTGAGGCTTTTTTTTTTTTAACAAAAAAGGATAACATTGTAAATTCAGTAACACTTCAAGTTTTTTTCCTTCAAAATTTTCCCTATAGATTATTCATGGAGAGAAACAAAAATTAAGTGATGATCCTTGCAATACATACATACATATATGATGAGTTTCACTTTTCCTTTTAGTAGTATATCTGAATACTTTTCTTGTCGTTATAAATTTTATAGTAATCTATTTGGTGATGCAGAGTTATCTAGTATATGTCAGGAGTCCTCCAATTCGTGATGCCCCCAAGTCAATGCTTCACATGAGGATCCTCCAACAAGCCCTTGGCAGGTATGTATTTAAATATATTTATGGACCAATTAATATACTCCTTCTGATCCCTAGTATAAAAAGTACTTAACTAATTTAGGTAAATTAAATAAATTAGATAAATAAGTTAATTATAATAAACATGACCTGATCTCCCAAAGAATATCTAACTAACTTTAGATTATACATTAGTTTATAAGTGATTAACTAAATTAGTTTGCGAGCAATGAATATCAGGGACAAAATGGATTGAGTTTTTCTATTTACAACCAAATCTATCCCCCAACTAATTCTCACCTCAGCCACAAAAGGAAGGATATCTGTGTGCGTATTTATAAGAGTGAAGTTTCAAATGGTTTTTTGTACATTACATTTCAAATGTTATGTGTTAGTGATGGAACAGCAAATGCTCTTGTACACAGCTACAAGAGGTCTATCAAAGGGTTCGTTGCGGCGCTCAAGAAAGAAGATGTTCAAAAAGTTTGCTGGTAACTAAAAATCACATAGTGAATTAAACTAGATTTAGATATTTATATGTCAAAAACTTTAATTCGAAACATAATCTGTTGGCTTGATTAAAGAACTAAAAGAGAGACTTAATCCAGCATTCATAACATTGCCAGTGATGTCCAATATCAAACTGAGTCATCATCAAAACTGGGATGTAATTTGATTTTTATTCTCTGTAATGGATTCTGATAGTCAATTTTCTGAGTTGTTAGCAATGGAAGGAGTGATTGCTATATTCCCAAATGGAAAGAAGCATCTACACGCTACAAGATCATGGGACTTCATAGGATTTCCAGAAAAAGTGGAAAGATCAAGCACTGAGAGCGATATAATAACAGGAGTAATTGACTCTGGAATCTGGCCTGACTACCCAAGCTTTAATGACTCTGGATTTGGTCCTCCACCCCCTAAATGGAAGGGATCCTGCTATAATATCACTTGCAACAAGTACCTTCCCATATCTATTTCTTTACATTTGAAAACTCTTCATCTCATATCATATTCATGTTGGCTGATCATTGGGAAATTTTCATTCATACTCTATATATGTGCCTAATAATTTTATGAACCCTAATTATCTGTTGTTACAACATAGTGTTGTAAGAAGAGGTATAGATAGGGTGGACTCCGCCCACCAATTCTTTATTATTACAAGTAGTGAGATAGATATGTGAGACGGATGGGCCTGCACATTAGGTTGAGTCTCACCCACCACATATGACTATCTCCTTACATAGAGATGGAATCAGAATTTCTCCTTATGCCTGAACAGCAAGGCAGCTTCTTATATTACTATAAATGCATTTTCATGTTGGCTCACAAAGGAATTTTCATTAACTGCTTGTCTTGTATACGTTATATATGCTAACAATTTTGTGTTGCTACAAGAAGAGAGAAAGACATATTAAAAAGTGGGTGGATCTTATATGTCAGGTGGATTCTACCGACCTATTCTTTGTTGCTGCAAGTAGAAAGATATATACATAATATGAGTGGGCACACATATAACGCGAGTCTCACCATATATATGTTTCAACAAGAAGGCATCTTCATTATATTTTCGTGGTACATATCTATTAAGTATTTATTTTCGAAATTAAATTGTGTGCAGTAAGATCACTGGGGCAAAATATTTCCGAAGTGACAAAAAATTTGGTAAAAATGATATAATGTCTCCAATAGATTCTAGAGGCCATGGAACACACACTGCATCAACAGCTGCTGGTGGAGCTGTGAGCTCAGCAAGCTTCTATGGTCTGGGCTTAGGAACAGCAAGAGAAGGTGTGCCATCAGCAAGAATAGCAGTGTACAAGGTTTGTTGGTCCGATGGATGTCGAGATGCAGACATTCTTGCAGCTTTCGATGAAGCAATCGCTGATGGGGTTGACATAATCTCTGCCTCACTTGGAAGTAAATTAGCTTGTCATTATTTCAATGATGTTGTTGCGATTGGAGCTTTTCACGCGATGAACAACGGTGGCCCCAAACTTACGACCATGCGTAATGTGGCTCCTTGGTCTCTTTGTGTGGCTGCCATTACCATTGATAGAAAGTTCCTCACCAAGATTAAATTTGGGGATGATATTGTTCTTGAGGTAAATTTAAATCGCCTTTGTTTTCCGTGTCTGATACCAACATGATTTCTTATTCCTGCGTTTGAACTTCAGAAAATTTAAAAATATTTAATTCTCACCGATATACAAGATATTCCTCTGGTTTTATTTATAAGCAGAGAGAGAAAAGGTTTTTTTTTTTTTTGCTCTTAATATAAATCACTTCACAAATGCACAATTTTACCCATTAATTTGTTTTTTTATATATATGTTGTTATTTTCTTAAAAGTGTATATTAAATAGAAATAAAGTTGAAATGAGACTAAATTCTAATACAAAATTAATTGGTTTTGGGTTTTTTTTTAATGGAAAAAAAAACCTTTAAAACAATGCAAAATGCCAAATTTAGGAGGCTGAATTTTAAAATACCACGCCAAATTAGTATAGTTGAACCAATTTAGTATTTTCAAAATGTTGTGAAATGATGCTACTCACCTCACTTTCGTTTTTCCCCCCTTTCTTTCTTAAAATGCCACCTAAGGAGGCCAACTGTGAGGGCTTCAACGCCAGTTACTCCTCTGGCAGCTAATTCTAGTGACTATCCTTGTTTAATTATTAATTACGTTTGTTTGGAAAGATTCGACAACTATTCATGTTTAGCTATTGATTGCTCTAGTTTTGCTATTAACTACTTTTGTTTCAACAAATCTAGTGATTACTCTTGTTTGGCTATTGACTTCTTGTATATCATTGTGGGCTACTTTTATTCCAAGAATTCAAAAAAGAATTAAGAGCTTTAGTTACTACTATTGCAAAATAAGAGTAGTCAATAATAAAACTAGAGTAATAAATAGCCAAATATATAAGAGTAGTCACCAGAGCTTTAGACACAAAAGTAGTCAAAAACAAAACTAGAATAGCCAATCGCTAAACACAAGTTGTCATCGAAGCTCTAAAAACAAAAGTAGTCAATAATGAAACTAAATACAGTCAATAGCTAAACAAGAGTAATCACTGATCGTGTAGGTGCAATGGCATCATTTTGCAACATTCAAAAGTTTCAAAATAGCACAAGGGGTTGGATTTAGTATTTTGAAATTCAACCTCCTTCATTTGTGATTCAGTATTTTCAAAAGTATTGTTTGTCATTTTTCCCTTTTTGTTTTGAGCAAACATGTAGAAAATGTCTTACAAATAAAACTAAAGGAATATTAAGTCATTTAACCTTTCATTATGTGAATACCCATTTTTGAAATGATGAGGAGTTTCATGTTTACTTCACAATGAGTGTGACAGTTGTTGTGATTTTTACAGGGAACTTCATTAAATACCTTTGACTTGAATAATATTCAGTATGCTGTAGTCTATGGTGGGCATGTGCCTAACACCCTTAAAGGGTATAATAGCTCTATATCTAGGTACTCCAGACTCATTGATCTGAATCTCACAAGGCCTCTTCTCCCTTGTCTGCATAACTACTTAAAATAAAGTATATTTGGCGCAGGCTTTGCTTAGGAGACTCAATGGACCAGAATTTAGTGAAGGGAAAAATAGTTGTTTGTGATGGCTATTATTTACCCGAAAAAATTGGACTTGCGTCTGGTTCTGCTGGAGTCTTAATAAATTTTAAAGGAGAACTTCCTGATATTACTTTTGCTTTTGCCTTGCCAGCATCTATCATTAATCTAGTGAATGGTGATATCTTACGCCTCATGCCCGAGATGAAGTAACAGAATTTCCACCATCTCACAAACCTATTATTTTTTAGTTTAACGAACGTTTAATTGACTTCGTGTGGTGCAAGATACATATGCGAAACTTTTTTGTCTCATAAAGCACAAAAGTATTTTTTTGAAGCGATTGACAAAGACCACTTGTTCTTTTCCATTAGCAAACCCTAATATGCATAAATTTTGAAACGAACGACAGAAACGGCAACAACATAACTGCAACCATATTGAAGAGCAGCCATTTCAACAATACTTAGCTCCTTTTGTAGCCTCTTTTTCCTCCAGGGGTTCCAACCTGATTGCACTTGACATTCTCAAAGTAAATTGACTTCTTTACTTGCTTTAAGTACCTTTTGAGTGATATAGATTCATGTAATAACTATGAGGACTAACTTGCCGGTTTGAAACAATAATTTTGGATTATATCATAATAAAGTATAGCCAGACATAGCAGCACCAGGATCTGATATTTTGGCTGCATGGTCTCCAAATTCACCTCCTTCTCAAGTGAAAGGAGACAAAAGACAACTAGAATATTTTTTCCATCCAGGGACATCAATGGCATGCCCTCATGTTACTGCGTTAGCTGCTAACATCAAATCCTTCCATCCTTCTTGGTCTCCTGCAGCAATCAAGTCTGCTATTATGACCACAGGTGTGTGTATGTGATTATTCATTACTCTTGTCCAGCTTGATTTATAATTGACTCGGCCCAACTAAGAAGTTTTCTTCTATGCCATTCTTTTGGTTCCATGTTATCCATTGCATAGTATCTAATTTAATGTACTCCATCTGATCCCAAAATGTAGGATTTAGTTTAGGGGTTTGTTTCAATAATAAATTTAAGACCTAATCCAACTTTGTATATCAAATTATCAAGATTTTCTTAAATTATCCATGTTAATTGCATATATTAAAGGGATTTGAATCAATCGGGCATAACTTTCAATTAATGCAAATGATTAAAGGGGGTATTTTAGAAAAATAAACATATTTTTCTTGCAAATAACTAATTTAACTAATTTTCGTAATTTTTATAATTAAATCAGTTATCTAGATCCTACATTTAAAATTAGATGGAGTATTCATAAAAGACTTCTTTGTTCATTTTAATTAGACGGTTCATTGTTGTTGTCATGTCACATAATATGCTGTAAGTAGATGGCATATCGAGGGTGCAAATAGATCAAGTTTGGCATATATTATTAGGGAAATCACTATGAAGTCTGAGGAAAAAAATATAACCATGACAAATCAGCATCGATGTGATTGTCATTTTGCTACACAAACTTATCATTCTCTTGTTATGAGACTTTTTGATAATTACATTTCTTCCTTAAGACCAAATAATGATTTTTCCCTATATTATTTGGCCTGCTGAGCAGATCGATGATGAAGTGGTGTGATGATAGCCATCAGATCAATACTAAAAGACAAGATCTTTAATTCACGGGGGGGAAAAAAAGACAAGATCTTTTTGAAAAAGTAATGGACTGTCAAAACACATGTTTTCCCATGGATCCGTTTACACTCAGATTTTTTTTTCTTTTTCTTTTTTAAATCACAGCTACACCATTGAAATCTCTAAAGAACGATGCTGAGATTGCATATGGTTCTGGCCATATAAATCTAACCATGCAAGGCACTAAATCCTGGTTTAGTATACGATGCTAATGAAACCGACTACATCAACTTCCTATGTGGACAAGGTTTACAATGACTCATTGCTTCAAGTTGTAACTGGAGAAAGTAACACTTGTTTTGGAGTCACTCATGGCAGTGTGTGGGATTTAAACTACCCTTCTTTTGCCGTCTCCACTACTTCTCCTGGCAGTGTGTGTCTTCATATAAATTAATATATTTATATGAAGGGTCATGTGGGAAGTTAAAACATTAAATGAACCTACATACTAAATTCATTGTATTTATTTAAATTATGTTGGTTCATAAACCAACATATGGTCGTGACTTTCTATTTAATAAGTTTTATTCTAAAAGGTATCTCTTCAAGATATCATTCTATGCTCTATATAAACCCTTCACCATCACTTTATTTGGAGAGAATACAACACAAACACTAAGTTCAAACTCATTGCCTTTGTCTTTGAGTGCACGCAGAGACAGAGTCAAATTATCACTTTGTGAAAGCCATTATTGTCTTTGCTTGAGTTTGGAACTGCAATCTATATTCAAGAGTCTTCATTCTATCCTGAAGGAAATTCGCCAAGCATCCTAACTTACACCCTATAAAATAGAAATATATGGGGGCCAATTAAGCCTAAAGAAAAGTGCTACCCACGCCTTGAAGACATCGTACACCATTTTCTTCTTCATCTCTTCTTCTTGTACTCTTCAGAGAACCTTTCCCGCCAACAAACTTGCCATGTACTAACTCCAATCTTAATTATAAAACCTCGTTTCTAATCTACAAATGAGGTTTTATATTCCAGACCAGAGGTAATATTATTTCCCTGTGCTCTTTCACTCATTACACTGTTTCCTCCAAGAAAATAAAGAGACTATGTGACACATATGATCAGCCCTTCCATCCTAGATTCCGCACAATAATGGCATACAATAACAGTGGATTTCGTCAATTTTGTTGAAAGAACATACCTAGTTTCATGGATCATCCTATGTAATGGACTTTTCTCTCTCAGACAATGAGGATATATGCGTGTGTGTCGAGTAGAACCTTTGATTTTCTTCTGCTATATATGTGAGAAGTAACGTTCAAGAGTGTAAACTCATTCACGATGATGTTTATGTTCTTCCCAATAGCTTCATTGAAAATTGATATTTTTTTTCCCTTTGCTGTATTTTGATTTTTAAAATTGTGAGGTTGTTGAGTAATTTTAATTAACTTGAGAAAGAAAATAACTAAATTAAAAATGCTATATTTAGAATTGGAGAAAGCATAAATGAAATTTATTTATTTTAATGCAATTAACTTCAATTTAATAGTCTCCAAATCCCCACCTACCCCAATACAATTCTTTCTTCTTGTTTTTTTTTTTTTTTCTCGATTAAGCAAGGCCATTCAATGAGAGTTTTTGGAAAGGATGGATAAGACAATGGATGGAATTTTTTCCCCCCACGTATAGTGGTTACTTTAGTGCCATTTGTTTTGGTTTTTGACTTTTTAGATTTGAGTGTATCCATGGAGATATCCATGTGCACACAGAATTATATTTGGCAAGTAGTTTTGGATATATTCTTACCAGTTTTGTCTCACAATTTGAAACTTAATATTCATTCAGGATATTGAGTACTAACATGTATATCTTCTATGCATTCAAATCTAATATATGTGAGTATTTTTATGGGGAAATGACAAAAAATCCTAAAAATGACTATATTTCAAATCAAGTTTATTTCCTATGCCTTAACAACTTTTGAGTATACTACTTGACTACTTGACTTATAAATGGCAATACATTTTTGTAAGAATTCCCAATTTGAGACAAAGCAATTTTCAAGCTTTTTTTGTTTTTTTCATTTTAATCTTTCAATTTATTAGTAAAACAATTAGAATAATTATTTTTCCATTTAAGTTCCATATATATATATATATCTATCTATATGTATATGACCCAATTTGGACTAATCAAGCTATCCTATCAAAAGTCCAAATATATAGGAAAAATTACAATAAGATCTCAAAAAAAATTTTACAAAATGGTCCCAGAACAACTGAGTAGTTTATAATAACAAGTTCTAAAGAAAAAAATGGCAATAAGTTTCAACTGTTCTCTTATCATTAGAATTTTTTTAGTAATTATCTTTCTTCTCTAAAACCTCGGACTAATTTTCTCGAATACATATGGCCGCCCCTTTTTTTTTTTATAGACCAGAATTTTCTCAACCCCACCCACCAAGGACAGATAATAGGTCAACCCACTTTTTCAATAAATTTAAAATTCATAATTGCTATCTTTGATTCTTAATATAACATATAGTTTATAATTCAAATTACAAACTAAATTTTATATTAAAGACTCAGAGGCAGTATTAAGATATCGGATGCGATAACTATTTTCGGAAAAGAAAAAGTAGCCTACCAGCCAACCTATGTGGGCCAGACAAATTGCCCTGTTTGGCCCAATCAAAAGGTTTAGGCTCAAGCAGCTTAGCCCATACATACCACCTATGAATCATGTCATATAAAGCATCTCAATACATCTCATCACCCTTCGCATCTGGAGAGCCGATTAATTTCTAATTTTCTAGTCTTTAGGGAAACACGTGGATTTTGTTTCTCTCCACATTTTCAAGCCTCCATTTTGTCTCTATTTTTCTATTTGAGTTCATGGATTTATTTAAATTCCAACGCTTCAAATTTATGATTTTATATGGTAAATTTTGTACTCTTCTTTCCAATATAATTATGAATTGTTTGATATTAACTATAAATTATTCAAATTTAATCCAACAATATATATATGTGAAATGTGTATGGGAAATGAATATCAATAACAAAAAAATTATTATAATAGCTATTGTTATTACCTATTACTATTCAATCGAGTATTTAGTCTTTGCGAGAGAAAACTGTTGAAAAATCCTCATTAATTAGTTTATTGCTCAAAAGATACCTTAAATTTATTTAAAGATTGAGGCAACTGTATTTGTTTTTTTAATTATATGCAACTTATTTTCAATTATGAGTAAAACGAAAGACATTTACATACAAGTAAAGACATATTGCAAAATGAAATTTTCAATAATTTTTCCTTTTAAAATTTTTTTATTTTATTTTATACTAAATTTTTGTGTGAGTCCCCTCTATTTCTAAGAATTTCCGGCAAAATATGCAAGTCCTGAAGATCTGAAATTTACGTTGTGAATTTGTGATTTCCCGTCAGAAAATCAGATGCAGCATTACCCCCAAAGCCAACATATAATGGACCGTATTCAACAATCTTGACTTGCCATCCCTATTCCTATTCTGATCTCCGTTGTTAGCCATGGGAATCCATGAGAGTGGCGGAGTCATTTCT